AACTCAGTTCTCACCTAGAGACCAGGGGCTGGGAAATCTGCTTAAACAACAGGACGTGCTCTGCGTCCTCATGAACCTGCCTGACATGTAGGGTCACCACAGAGCTGATGTTATGCCTGCTGAGTCTGCAGGGAGAACAGTAGGCACCAACCTCCTTCCCTCTTACCTATGCAAGGAGAGCAGAACAAGTCCTCCAGCCATTACTGTTGGAGTGAACCACACTTCTCCACCTTCTCACTCAGTCTGAACAAACAAACATGAGTAATGTTTTGGCCATCTCAGTGTTGTGGCCACACTGGCCATGGCGCAGCCCTGAAGATCTCATGAGCCTTACTGGGGGCAGCCTTTTGTTAGAACAGGCACTAGAGAGCCTGCTCTTGAGGAAACTCCTCATCAGTGAAACAGAAGCAAAGGCATAGTAAATGAACTTCCTCTAGCTCTCAGCCCTTTTCAGGTAGGGCAGGCAGCTCCCAGCAGGCACACGTGTCCTCCCAGCACTCAGCTGGAGCCAGAGCCTCATGAGGTTCTTGGGGAAAGTTTCTCTCAGCATCCTTTCTAAGGCACAGCTGTGGGTCTGTTCATGGGTGCTCTCCAGCCCACACCTGAGCTCTCCTGCACAGTCCGTTGCTCTCCATTCTTGCACCCAGCTCCCTGGACAGCTTGACTGCCCCCCACAGCGTGATTGGCTGTTGTCACATAGATGCTGCATCCTCTGTTTTCACAAAATGGTGTTCTTTAAAAGGTGTGTTGCCACAAACAAGATAGATGCTATACGCCAACCGGCAAAAGATGTCTTTTGCTGGTGGAGCTTCTTTGCTTGCTGGAGTTGCAAAGTTCACTCAATGCAGGTGTACCAGGGGAACTAGACTAACAAGAAAGTTTTCAGTGAGGCCCAATATAGAGTGTCAAAAATAATCACCATCTCTTTCATTCAGTTCTTCAGATGCAAAAGAAATATGTATTCATTTCCTTTGGGAATTAAACCGTTGACCTTTCTGAATGCCAGCGAGCCTATAAGTAGGGCAGAGGGAGTAGGGATTATCATATCATTAAAACAGCATAACTCCCAAATCTAGTTACTGTTAGACCTGATGCTAGCTGGGGAGAAGGAGGAAGACAGGATGCTGTTGCCAGAGCAGGGTCTGTTTGGAGGGGTCTGGGGTGGTTGCATGGAGGATCCAGGCTGGCACAGGTTTCTCTGACTTTTCATGAGGCGTTTGACTTACTTCTGCATGATGCCTGAAAGAAGTGGCATCCTTAATAAGGTTGTTTGCAAAACGCAGTAATCAGGAGGTTTTTCTGCTTGGAGAACCCTCAGAAATGGGTTTCTGGGAGAGGCGCTGAGGTGTGTTTTCTCCTGGGCGCTGGAAGTCCCTGTGGTGTTGGGACGCCAAGTGGCACATACGCCGCTGCCAAAGGGGTTTGTTGCAGGGAGCTCCCTCAGCTCCAGGGCAGGCAGTGCAGAGCCCCTCACCTGCAAGGGGCTTCCTCCAGCCCCCACAAAGCCCTTCCATGTGCAGCCCCCCTCATGATTCGCACCAGGCGTACAGGCACCCCATGAGGACGCACCCATGGGTCCCTCTCCCAGCCCACTGCTCAGGAGAGGGTGCGGTGGGCACCGCTCGAGGACACCACTTATGCTAACTGCTCAGCAGCCTTTGGTCGTCTGTTTAGAGCCAATCTCCTCCCCAGGGCCTTCAGCGGTAAGGGAGCTGGGTCCGTGCCTGGGTTTCAGGTGGTACAAGAACACCCCTTTTAACTGCATAGGTGCGGACAGCCCTCACCAAAGATGACACAGGGTTGCCGGCAGCTGCCTTAGCCAGGGACCCAGCCTTGTGGTTCACTGGTGGGACTTGGTGTGCCAGGCCAGGGCTCAGCCGCTAGAGGTACCCAGTTTCTGCGCAGGGTGGAGGGCTCTGTGCCTGGTGGCAGAAGCAGGGTTGATACCCAAATATATAAGGGACTGTGGCTCTTCAGAAACTTGGCTTCCTCAGACAGCCCATGGGTCAGCACAAGCCAGCTTCTACAGTGAAGGGAAACATGGGAGAAAAGGTGGGGAGAAGGCAGCATTTTTGGGAGGCCATTGCTAAGGTGACTGCACAATCAAGCTGGTAGCTCCATGCACTAGTCACTAGATTGCAGGATTACAGCTGAAAACCAAGCAGGCACCTCTGAGCCGCAGGCTACCTGGTAACGTGGAGTGGGGTAAGGCTGGATCAGCATGAACAAGTCTTTCCAGTTTGCAGCCAGGTCTGCCTGCCTGATTCACCAACACACTGGCAGCAGCAAGGACAGGAGAGGTGCTTTGCTGCAGCAAACAGCCACAGCTGCAGCTTTCTGAGGAGTGTGGTGGCAGACCAGGGTGCAGCCGCTTGCAGAGATGTGCTGCTTTCATTCTGAGAGCATGCCACGTGCTGACAGTAAGGGTCCTCCCAGGACAGAACTGGAGCTGTTACTGGGAGCCATCCCAACTGCAGTGACAAGGCAAGCATTGCCTTTCACAAGCCAAGAGCTGGTCATCATTTATTTATAGGTGGCTTCTGTTTGCTCAGTGCTGTATTGCTGGTAACCAGATGACATTTATTAAAGTGACTTGGCCGTTGTGATTTTTCACAAAAACCCCAGCCTTTTAAGGCTGACAGCCTTTGCCTGTCAGCTGTCCCATGTGAGGTGGCATGTCCTGGACAGGCTGGGACAGCAACAAAGATCAGCTATTTTCACAGGAAGGTCTGGCCATATACTTTTCATGAAAAACTAAAATTATTTTGGAAATTAAGGACTACTAAGGAATTTTTGCTTCTGCTTCCAAAGACATAAAACATGTGTTTATACCCAGTGAGGCAACCAGGTTCCTTAACCAAGAGTGGTGGGATGTATTTCCGCTGGAAGAAACTGGAGCATACAGATACTGGCACATATACATTTCTAAGCTGCCAGGAAGCATAGGAAAAGCTGTTTCCCAGGGTTTTGGTGAACAGCAACTCGCAGTCCAAGCCACAGCTGGGCTGGCTTGACAGCAGCAGGGTGTTCGTGACGGGGAGCTGCTCTGCCATACTCCAAGGGGCAGAGCTAAGGCTGAACAAATATTCAGACTCCCCTGTGCCTGGCTGAGCAACTGACTCTTGCTTTGAGGGGAATTCTCTGAAATACTTACAGAACCCCCCCACAGAGTCCCTCCAGGTGAGAGCTGCCGAATGCCAGGTTTTAAAATGCCTGAACGCCTTGGTCGGGGAAAAATGCTGTACCCAAATTCATTGTCAAGCCGTTCCTCTTTTTTTGAAAGTTACTTTGCTTCATTAGGGTTCAGTGACTCTTGCAGTATCTCACACACTAAGCGCTCAAACACCAGCACAAACCAGAGACATGAGAATAGCTTTTGCAATCCCAAGGCAGTTTCTGTGACTCTGATGAGGAACTGCTGTGTCTCACATTGCTGCGGTTTGTCTTCATCTCATCTTCTCACCACCCCATATTTCTAAGTGGAAAAACAAAAAAAACCAAAGAAAGGCTGTGATGCGGTCACAAGGGGGACACTGTCCAGATCATCAGCAATGTTGGGTTGCCAAAGCCAAGGGAATGGTGTTCCCACATCCCAGGATGCAGGCAGGGAGTGCTCTCCATTCAGGAGCTGTGATTCACTCAGTCCTCTGCATCGTAGCAGGGGTGCTTGGGTGAGGACTAGTGGTTACTCTAGAGCCCTGTCTCCTAAACGAATATCCAGCTCTTCTGAGATCCTGTGGTAGCGATAGCTGCAGGTAACCAGCTACCAAGGCATATTTCAAGGCAGGTTTGTGTTTTTCTGCTGCCAAGCTGAGTGGTGCGGTTGGCACACCAGAAGGATGGGATGTCATCCAAAGAGACCTGGACAAGCTGGAGAGGTGGGCCTGTGTGAACCTCATGAGGTTCAACAAGGCCAAGTGCAAGGTCCTGCACCTGGGTCGGGGTAACCCCCGGTATCAATAGAGGCTGGGGGAAGAAGGGATCGAGAGCAGCCCTGCCGAGAGGGACTTGGGGGTGCTGGTGGATGAAAAGCGGGACATGAGCCGGCAATGGGCACTGGCAGCCCAGAAGGCCAACCGTACCCTGGGCTGCATCAAGAGAAGCGTGGCCAGCAGGTCGAGGGAGGTGATTCTGCCCCTCTACTCTGCTCTGGTGAGACCTCACCTGGAGTTCTGCATACAGCTCTGGAGCCCTCAGCACAACAAGGACATGAAGTGTTGGAGCGGGTCCAGAGGAGGGCTACAAAAATGATCCGAGGGCTGGAGCACCTCTCCTGTGAGGACAGGCTGAGGGAGTTGGGCTTGTTCAGCCTGGAGAAGAGAAGGCTGTGGGGAGACCTGATTACAGCCTTTCAGTGCTTAAAGGGAGCCTATAGGAAAGGTGGGGAAAATCTTTTTAGTAGGGCCAGCTGTGACAGGACAAGGGGTAATGGCTTTAAACTAAACCAGGGTGAGTTTAGACTAGATATAAGGAAGAAATTCTTTACAATGAGGGTGGTGAAACACTGGAATGTGTTGCCCAGAGAGGTAGTGGAGCCCCCATCCCTGGAAACATTCAAGGCCAGGTTGGATGGGGCTCTGAGCAACCTGATCTAGTTAGCGGTGCCCCTGCTCCTGCGGGGGGGTTGGACTAGGTGAACTCTAGGGGTCCCTTCCAACCCAAAACATTCTATGATTCTATACTGCCAGAGAACACACAGGGAGCCTTTCCACGTCCCTCCCTCCCAAGTGCTGTTTGCTGATCAGCTCTCTGTGGCAGGTGTGCCCAGGATGGGAGAGTGTCATCTAGGGTACTGTCTTCCTACGTCAAGATTAGGCTAGGAACTTGTGTGATTTTTGTTTCTGTGCAACTAGCTCCTACCCAGAAACCTACTGAAAAGAGCTAGAAACAAAGCCTCTTTATTCCCAGCAGCAGAAAGGAGATTTTGTTAGCTACTAGGTAGCAGGTGTGAGGGGGTGGTGAGGTGTTATTGCCTTCATAAGATTTTTTTTTTTTAACAGGTGTTTGGCTTGGAGCATTGCTTGGAAAGACTGCATGTGAGTATTAGCTCCGCTTCCTGAGGCTCCAAGTGATTAATCTACATACGGGGATCCAGAGCAGTGCTGAAGACTTGTCTAACAGCTTTAAGCTTCTCCTATATGATGAGTAGGAACCACAAGATGGTTTGTCTCCAGGACTATTATGCTATCTGCACAGCTCTAGATCATTTGAGACCTGCAAAGAGACCCCCACAGAACACACCAGAACATCAACTGGCCGCAGTGCTTAACAGCAGCTCGGAAGAAAGCTGCCAAGTTGAAGAGGAGCGAGCCTCTGCAAGTATGTTTGTTGGTCCTTGATGTCCAGCTCTCCCCTGCTCTCATTCAGAGAGTCCCTTCCCAAGAGAACCCGGTTTGCTGGATGCAGCAGCTTCCCACACCTTGAGCACCAGCTCAGAGACTGCATTTTGCCTGCCTCCCTGCCATTCTGCAACAGTATTTTAGGCATGTGGTGAGAAGCATGCTGCCGTGGATCAGCCAGAGGGAACAGTCTCCTGTCTGGCTGTAAAGCAAATCCAAATCCTTAGGTCAAACACTCTGATCAAGCAGGAAGGAGAAGGAAGCAGGGGGCTTCCCTGGGGTTTTTGCTCCACCAGCATGGGGAAAAACCCTCTAGCAGGAACCAATTCCCAGCCATGGAGGAGCAGGGTCACAGGCACCTGAGAAATGCTGCTCTGCCATGCTAATTAGTGTAATACTCACCAACGATCCCCTGCCCTCCTCCCCTCCTGAGCTGGACTGAGAGGCAGCTCATGAAGGACGGGTGCACAGCTCCCAGCAACCCTCTCTGCCGCAGAGGCAGCAGCCCCGCCACATGCCATCCAAGGCGCGTCAGCTCCTTCCTGGGCTGTAGCAAGACTTGAAGAGCCCACTGCTCCAACACAGATGCTGGCGGTGGAGCACTTTGGAGGCTGGACCAGGTGGGAGAGGCTGCTTTTCCTAACTCTGAGAGCATTTGGAAGAGGCAAATTGACTGCCAGACCTGGGAAGTTTTCTTCAGAAGACTTTTTTAGTGCCAAAGTCAGTTACTTTGCTTTCCCAGCAACACCTCTGCAGGCTGCCCCAGCAAATGGCCCTGGGGCAGTTTGCAAGGCAGGCAGAAGCTGTTGTCCCCCACAGCGCGAGGCCAGCATTCAGGACTCACAGGACCCTCAGCTACAGTCCCAGCCCCGGGCTGGCACATTGTCCCAGGAGGGGAAGATGGAGCTGAAGCCCACCTGGGATGGTCCCACCTCCATCCAACCCGGAGGGCACATTGAGGGAGGAGGTGCTGTGCCCAGTCTCCAGAGAAGTCTCACAAGATGGACTAGGGACATCAGGATACTACAGGAACTTCACTTAAAAGTCAGTCACAAGGCAGCTGAGTTGTGTCTGCTTCTCATGAGTCACACCCTCCCCTGTCCTTTCTGCCCTCACCACAAGGCAAAGGCACAGGTGGCTTGGGTGGCTGCTCTCTGTATCTCTTCTCTCCCTGCTATGACAAAGAGGAGTGGAGATGGAATGCTGATAACCCATGGATGGTGCCAGGACATGGCCTTGAAAGGGATTCTGCCAGCTATTCAGGACAGAGCATGATGGAGGCCGAAGATGGAAATTTCCAGGCCACAGTGAGGGCTGGCTGGGTTTCACAGGCCGGTCAGAGACGAGAAGTGGCTGAACTTCACAGGAAGGGGGGCTTTGGGGACCTTTGGGGGCAAGACTGTTGCCAGGCCAGCAGCTACGCGGGAACTGCATCAGTAATAGCATAGAGGACAGAGATTGTATCTCTGTGTATCTTCTGGTATATCAGAAATACCAAATTTGGGTATGGACATAGCAAAACTGGAACCAGAGGAGAAGCAGCAATTTGGAGGAAGTTGTTTATTCAGGAAGGGAAGGACCAGGGCAGCAAATAGGAGGACTAAGTAACACAATACAACAACATGCAGTTGGGCTGTCCAAGGACAACTGCCGTGCAGCCCTGCACCTGACCACTACAGCCTTGGCCAAAAAAAAAACCCCAAACCTTCTTTCTGATCATACCACATGTGACTGACTGTAGCCAGGAGGAGAGCAGGGAACGCGGGCTGGCTGGCAAGGGAGAACCCATCACAGACAGATCAAGCATCCCCATGCACAGACCCGTTCCTGACCTGATGGCCTCAGCATCTTCCAAACGCCTACCAGAATCCTAACATTATAGTCTTAAGTCTCCACTTTTTCTTGTGGACACATCTGCATATGAGTGCATGCGTGCTGCCCACCTCCCCGTGCACACGTAACCCCTTGCCAGCTTCAAATGCACATGCAGGGAAGCAGGGAGACCTTCACAGTGTGAGATGCTCTTCAGACATCTCTGGTTAGGCTGATCACATCATATGTTGCAGTGATATAATACAATTCCTCTCAGGTGCAACTTCAAACCAAACTGCTAAAAGCTGATTATAAGAAAAATAGTCACTGTCATCAAGCTCATCAGGAAAGCTGAAACACAGAGAGAAGAGGTCTGCTTGCATGAACCAGGAACAGAAAGAGCAGATGACCAAAAGGAAACCTGGAGTCGAGGCCAGCTGATAAGAGAGGAGGCTGATTATGAAGTCTTCCTTGGATCAAAATGCACACTGAAGTGTGAGCAGCAGTAAGCACCTCTTTAAGTCAGCCTTCAAATGTTCCTATTTTCCATACACAATTAGCCTCACTAGCGCAGTAAGAGCTGCCTGAAGTCCCCTTAATGTAATCATTGCTTGTGGAAAATTTCCTCTTGCATCTTTGTTACAGTTTCTCCCACAACATGTCTTTCTGAATAGGTGATCATTTCAGTCAGAGAGTGGGAGGAAACATCTGGGCCCATCTGGCTCAATTAAAGTGCCTTGTTCCAAAAGCATAACCCATCATTTTCTGTTCATCTTGTTGTATTTTCACTTTTGTCTGAAATTAGGGCACACTTGGAAACGCTAATTATTTCATGAACCATCTAACATCAGACTTAATACATCTTTTTGTTGTTGTTGTTGTTGTTATGCAGAGCCCTTACTTTCGATTCTTTTGTCCGCCGATACCAATGTAACACGGTTCAGCTTATCTCTTTCCCCAGCCACTAACAGTGAAACTGGCAAAGCGTATGGCAACGTGCTCTGCATATCCAACACATCTGGCTGCCAGCAAATTAAGCCTCTGCGTGCTCTGGCATAGAGTGAGCGAGCCAGGAGGTGGCAGGTCCTGCTGTGCAGATGGCAGTGTTTGCAACCCAACAAGCCTTGCACCCAGACATGCAGCAGGACTCCAAACCACACAGATAAAACCTGCTCTGAGGCCAAAGCACACTCGGTGTTAGGCGCAGACCTTACAATCTCAGGCCCAGCTGCTGGGCAGCTCCTCGGGCAGAGGGACCACCCTTCCCAAAGCTTTAAAAGGTGCCATGCCCCGCAGCTCAGAGCAATCCTCAGACACCGGGGAGCGAGCGGGGAGCCTGTGGGAAACGCTGACCACTCCACAGCACAGAGGAGGGACCAGGCTGAGTCTTTGGCGCTGTTGCATTAAACAGCGATGAATCTATTGCAGAATGGCACGTAGAAGACTTAATAAGTGCAACTTTGGACCATAAGGAGAACATTGCGTCCCGCGCTTTGTAGCTGCCCTCACAGGAAGAGGTGCAGGGGCAGGGATCACCTCCCACTCCAAGATGTTTGGGACAGGATTTACAGGACACACATGGATGGGCTGGCTGAGGGCACCTGATCCCTTTCACTTGGTCCCTTGCTTCAGGGCACAAAAGAGTGCATCTCCAGTGGCTCACGTCATGGCAAAGGGCAGACCCCTTCTCTGATGCCGAACAATTAAACCTGCGTTTGCATTTGCAGCCCTGTTCCAGGGCTTCAGGCTCACACCTTCACAGACAGGGATGCTCAGGGAGCTCGCCAGAAGCCCCAGGGCCTGATCTGCCCTGCAGCAACAAGAACAAATGCACCAAGACTCTGTTCCAGGGGCCCACATCCTGCAAGGCAGGGTCTAGGACTGGGTCCATGGGGAAGCAGCATGCAGATTCCCAGGTGTCACATGCCATGTTTCCAAAATGTCTGCCCTGAAGTCAGAGCTCCAGCAGGTACCCAGCATGCCACAGCCAACCTGCTCCCTGCAGCAGCCCCTGCAACCTCCTGCAAACCACCCCCTTGCAGCGACACTGAGCCAGCTCCCTCCTCAGATTCCAGTGTTGGGTCTGCAAGCAGCAGGAGAGAATCAGTTCTGCCTAGCGAGGTGTTTCTGCCAGCCAGCCCACCACAACCACCAGTCTGTGTAGCTGCAAGCTGCACATGCAAAGCCCCACGGTTTGAGTGGCCAGCAGCGGCTCCCACCACACATCCTAATGCACCTAATCCCCGTGACTACCCAAACCATGACATTGCAAATAGAGAGGAAGGAAACAGCTTGTGCAATCTCATCCTTCATGTCCTTAGGGCTTAACGGTCCCTATTGGCATATCTGGAAGCAGGAAAGATGGTAAATGAATGTGTTATTTGCTGGAGATCAATCACAGACCAGTGTAAACAGCTGATCTCCTACTGAATTCACTTATTTATTACGCAATTTATTAGAGGATTATTCAGACAGCTCATTGGGATCTTACCAGCACTTCAATATTTACTCTGCCCTTTAGCAAAAAGCAGAACTGCAAAGCATAAGTTTCTTACTAAACTCACCTGATGGGAAGACAGCACATCGCTAATGCCACTAGAAACCCTCTCCCTCCTCCACGAAAGCTTATGGCCTCCCACAGGCACCCCCCCATCCCCGAGCCCGGCTCAGGGCATAGCCCAGCACCCAGTCTGCCCAAGCCAGGTACCCCACTGCATGGGCTGGTCTTTGCTCGACGAAACCCAAGTTGTAGCTAAAAAGCGAAGTGGAGGTATGGCTGCAATTATACTTAATGCCAAGGGAACCACTTCAGCTTTCCAAAAATGCCATGGCGAGAAAAATAAAAAAATCCCCACTGTTTCAGATGACTCCAACATTAGAGCTGTGGAAATGTCAACAAGCAGATAATTCTGCGAAAGCTGCATGTCTGAAAACCAGGCTCTGTCTCAGCACACATTTGCCAAGAGCGCCAGGCTGCTTTCTTGTTCACCCTCATTGCTCCAAAACAGAACGACTTCAGCATCAATAACTGGACATATAAAACAAGGGCAAACATTATTGCAGGCGCAGTCAAACATCTGAATAAAGGAACCACACAGGCCTGCAGGACCCATACTAAAGGTACCAAACCTGAAATTTTTTAGAAGTTACCTAAATAATGAGAAGTATTGACCTCCCATTGCTGTAGGCTGTCTGAAGGACTTCATTCCTCCTAACTCTTAGAAATTCCTTACAGGGGAAGGTGAGTGTTTGATCACCACAAACATGTCACTGGCACACAGGAATTTCTGAAATTTCAGGTCTTAAGAGGCCTTGGACTTGCCTTTTCTCACCTAAAAATATTAGCTGTGTAGCTCAGCCATACTCATAACAGACCTCAAGCTTTATAATACTAATTCTCTATACTAGACCTCCAGTCTTGTCAGACCTTGAACATATCTTTGCTTGATTTCAGCCATCTCTGCAAAATTATTTGATGCATCACCTGCAACTTGCCATAGA